TTTTTTTTTTTTTGTAAAAAGAACTCAAATGTTGATGTCATTGTTATAAATAAATTTAATATCACACTGATCACACTCTAAGAGGGTATATTTCTAAATTTAATAAGAAATGGAAGACAGTAAAGCACCATTAGAAACCCCAGGGTAGCTGGTGGGTGGTGGTACATGTCTTTAAACCCAGCACTGGAGAGGCAGAGGCAGGTGGACCTCTGTGAGTTCGAGGACAGGCAGAGCTACACAGAGAAACCCTGTCTTGAAACCAAAATGAAAAAAAGAAAAGAAAAAGAAAGAAAGAAACTCCAGGGTATTAATCTAAAATAGTAATGGCTTTGCTATGTTAAAAGAAAATTTTCATTTTACTTCAGCATGTATCTATACAAAGAAAACCTAAGGCAGGTGTGGTGGTATACAACTGTGATCCCAACACCCAGGAAGTCAAAACAGAAGGAGCAGGAGTTCAAGGCCAGCCTCTACTACCTAGTGAATTAAAAACCAGCCTAATTACATGAGATCATGTCTAGAGAAAAAAAATTTTCATTATTTTTTGTTTTTCTTTTTGTTGCTGTTGTTGTTGTTTTGAGACAGGGTCTCTCTGTGTAGCCCTGGCTGTCCTGGAACTCACTCTGTAGACCAGGCTAGATCCATCTGTCTCTGCCTCCCAAGTGCTGGGATTAAAGGGGTGTACCAAATTTTTTTAGACAGATACAGTGGCGCACATCTTTAATCTCAGTGCTTGGGAGGCAGAGGCAGGTGGATCTCTGTGAGTTGGAGGCCAGCCTGGTCTACACAGCAAGTTCCAGGCCAGCTTTAGAAGCTTTGTTTCAAAAAAAAAAAAAAAAAAAAGGAGTGGGGGCGCAGGAAAGAAAAATAGTTTTTAAAAAATCACAGCCTGGGCCGGGCGGTGGTGGCGCACGCCTTTAATCCCAGCACTCGGGAGGCAGAGCCAGGCGGATCTCTGTGAGTTCGAGGCCAGCCTGGGCTACCAAGTGAGTTCCAGGAAAGGCTCAAAGCTACACAGAGAAACCCTGTCTCGAAAAACCAAAAAAAAAAAAAAAAAAAAAAAAAAAAAAAAAATCACAGCCTGGCATAGTGGCACATGCCCTCAAACCCAGCACTTGAGGGAGACAGAGGCAGGTTTATCTCTGGGAGTTTAAGGTCAGCCTGCTCTATAGAGTGAATTCCAGGACAGGCAGGACTACAGAGTAAACCCTTGTCTCAAAACAGAAAGAAAAGAAGACAAAGCAAAACAATTACATGCTAATATATGTGACACAAAATCAATTTGAGGCATAAAACTAAGCAAGTGGGGAACTAGCCAGGTGGCTCAGTGGTTAAGAGCACTTTCTGCTTTTTCAGAGGACTGGAGCTTGGTTTCCTGTAACTCCAGCTCTGGGGAAAATGGCGCCCTCTTCTGGCCTCCAAGAGCATGTGCATGTGCATGCACATGCACATACCCACACACACATACACATAAAAAAAAAAAAATAAACCTTAAAAAAAAACTATGTAGCCTGGTGGTGGTAGTGCACACCTTTAATCCCAGCACTCAGGAGGCAGAGGCAGGCAGATCTCTGTGAGTTCGAGGCCAGCCTGGGCTAGAGAGTGAGTTCCAAGACAAGCTCCAAAACTACACAGAGAAACTCTGTCTTGAAAAACCAAACCCCCCCCCCAAAAAAAAAACAAAAAAAACCCCTAAGTCGATAGCTTAGCTGTGGTGGCATACACATTGGTCATACATGTTTGCTCTACATCCATTTCCTGCCACTTCTTCCCATTTTCGGTTTTTAGGCTATTTGGTTTCTTCCCATGAGACAATATGTGATACATTTTTTTTTTTTTTTTTTTGGTTTTTTGAGACAGGGTTTCTCTGTGTAGCTTTGCGCCTCTCCTGGAACTCACTTGGTAGCCCAGGGCTGGCCTCGAACTCACAGAGATCCGCCTGCCTCTGCCTCCCGAGTGCTGGGAACATTTTTCTTCGTGGCTGAATAATACTCTGTGCTGTGGGATGTCATTCTGTATGCTGTGAATATGTGTTGCTCTGATTGGTTGATAAATAAACCACTGATTGGCCAGTAGCCAGGCAGGAAGTATAGGCAGAGTAAGCAGAAGAGGAGAATTCTGGGAAGAGGAAGGCTGAGTCAGGAGTTGCTGCCAGACACAGAGGAAGCAAGATGACAAGGCAGAACTGAGAAAAGGTACCAAGCCACATGGCTAAACATAGATAAGAATTATAGGTTAATTTAAGTGTAAGAGCTAGTCAGTAATAAGCCTGAGCTAATGACCAAGGAGTTATAAATAATATCAAGCCTCTGAATGATTATTTTACAAAAGGCTGCAGGACTGTGGGTGAGAGATTTGTCCTGACCATGGGCCAGGTGGGACACAGGAAAACTTCCAACTACACTTCTCATTTTCTGTTTCTAGGCTATTTAGTTTCTTCCCATGAGACAATCTGTGATACAATTTTCTTCATGGCTGAATAACACTCTGTGACATGGCCCAGTGGGATGGACTCATCTTTTGGGCTGCAACGCTGCCATCTGACATGTGGGCCCTGGTGCACCCCTAAGACTGTGAAGGTCCTTGAAGGCATAAACCAGCTTAGAAACAGCCATGATAACCAAGAGGCTGTCTTCACCAACGGTGCCCAACCTCAGGTACCATACTATGGGACAAGAGCCCAATTGCTGAAAGTGGAACAGGCCAGGCATTGTAGCACACACTTTTAATCCCAGCATCAGGAGGCAGAGGCAGGGGGATCTCTATGGGTTTAAGGCCAGCCTGGTCTACAGAGTGAGTTCCAGGACATCCAGGGTTGTGTAGAGAAACCCTGACGAAAGAAAGAAAGAGAGAGAGAGAGAGAGAGAGAGGAGAGAGAGAGAGAGAGAGAGAAAGGGGGGGCAGGTAGTGATGGCAAACACCCTTAGGGAGGAAAAGGCAGGCAGATCTCTGAGTTCAAGGACAGCCTAGTCAAATAAAGTGAGTTCCAAGATGGCCAGGACTGTTATACAGAGAAACCCTATCTCAAAAAAAAAAAAAAAAAAAAAAAAAAAGGAAATATTTTTTTAAATAACCTGGGAGTTTCAAAAGAACACAGTAACTCTCTAGCAACTGTTATTAAAGAAAATGGTACTGAAGAAATGCCTGACAAAGAAGTTAAAAATGTTTTAGTTTACTTATCTGGTATGTGTTTTAGCTAAACTAAGAAAAATAAGGGAAGACTAAAATCGAAGATGAAAAGGGATGCATTACAACAGACCCCGAAGAAATGCAAAAGGACGTTTAGATAGATAGATCCAAGATGGCAGATTGCAGCACTCGGCACTCGCCAGTTTCTCCTGCAGGTGAAACCAAAACAACTGGAGAACAGCCAAAAAAGTTCAGACAAGCTTGGGGAAGCTCAAGAGACCTTAGACAGCGGGACATCGGGCTCCCCAGAACTGATTACGCAGCCACACAGCAGAGAACATGGTCAGAGATGAGAGCGCGCCTGAGCGAACCCAGCACAGGAGTGATGCTGTGCTGAAATGTACTTCAGCACACAGTGATTGTGGGATCTCCACAGAAATCTGGCTCTCGGGAGGTTGTGTGTTCTCCAAAACCATACTTACAGTGACGTAATGGGGAACCATCTTGGGAAGATCCTGAACTTGCTTCTCTAAGAGTCGACGACTCCTGATTTTTTTTTTTTGTCACTGGGAACACTCAGCAGTATTACACTGAGACCCAGCAGGCATCAACCTTGAGACCCAGTTTGCCCTTGATGGAAAACATCTGATATGAACCCACTGAGAACATCTTGCAGTGGGAAATTGGTCTGTGACACATAAAGTAAAAGAGGCATGTGTCCCTTTAAGACCGGCAGCTCCAAAAGCCAGCTGGGAGAATCAGGAAAGAGAAGCTGCAAGTCCTTCCCCCCCCCCCCCCCCCCAACTTACGAATTAAGTCCCAGAATACCAGAACTGTGGAAGACGGATTGATGGGTAGGACTGCAATAAATTAGAAGCCTTCTGCACAGCAAAGGAAATGATTGACAATGAAGAAACAAACTACGGAATGGGAGAAAATCTCTTCCCGCTGTTCCTATGACAGGAGACTGGTTGACTAGAATCCCCTGGTCTTAGGGACCCTGAGGCCACCGTAGGTAGCTGTCAGGGAGGCAGATCCTGAACTTCTGTAACAGGGCCTCCTACCCTTCCTTAGCTTTCCCATCTGAGGAGGGGGGCGGGGGGGGTGTGTGTGGGAACAATACAAATAATGGACAACAGTGAGTGCATCTCTACATCTTTCACCGTGAAGTACCTTGCTACGGTGATACCAAACTAATAACACCTCCAGGGAGACTTTAAAGTTTGATTTCGTCTCCTTTGCTTTTAAATGAGAATAATGTTTTTGCACCAAAAAAAAAAAAAAAAACAGATCAACGGAGTCAAGAAACATGTTAACAATTGTTGAAACCATTGTTTACATTGAAATCTAATCAGTAGTAACGTTCTTTCATTTCAAAAGATAATAAGACTCCTTTGCTGGCCAGACCTGAGTCAACTTAGCATCAAGA